GACTGGAAGAACAATGTCGAACACCGGCTCCCTCAGATACCTAATGGCGTACGCGTAACTTATCCTATGACTGGTACTGGTGTTCTTCTCCCTCTTTCTCCGGCGAATAACTATGCTTCTGAGATTCTGCTCTGTGGCGGCTCTACCGTCGATGACAAGAAACCGGGATACGAGATCTCCTCCCAAGATCCTGCCTCTAGCCAATGCTCAAGAATGGTCCTTACTGACGCAGGTATCCAGGCAGGCTGGCAAGTTGAGCAGATGCCCCAGGCACGGACTATGCCAGACGCGGTTCTGCTCCCCACAGGCAAAGTGCTCATCGTCAATGGTGCTGGTACTGGTATCTCTGGCTATGGCAACGTCATCAACCAAGTTGGCTCTTCTAACGCTGATAATCCGGTCTTCACCCCTGTGCTATACGATCCTTCTGCTCCTAATGGTCAACGATTCTCTTCGGCGGGTATGCCCACAAGCGATATCCCAAGGCTGTACCACTCAGTGGCTACGCTGACTCCAAGTGGGATGGTGATGATTGCTGGGAGCAACCCGAATTTGGATAGAAGCGAAGAGAAGTATGGGACTGAGTATCGGGTCGAATGGTTGAGTCCTCCGTACATGAATGTCGAGCGACCACATCTGGGAGATGTCCCAAGGAAGCTTGGATTTGGAAGGACCGTCAAGTTTGACGTTGATTTACCGTTATCCTTGCAAGGTGGGGACGTCAAAGGTACGTCAAGTGCACTAACATGATGTCCGAAAGATAAATCTGAACGTGGTCATCGACAGTCGTCCTGATGGACTTCGGTTATGTGACGCATGCTGTGCATGCGGATTCCCGCCTCGTATATCTGGAGTCTTCCGTCTCCGATGGTAAAGTGATGGTGACCGGCCCTCCGGACGGAGGCATCTACCCGCCTGGTCCCGGGTGGATCATGGTTGTAGCGAACGATATTCCGAGCGAAGCAGTGAAGATTATGGTCGGTGACGGAAAGAGTCCAGAGGTCAACGAAGGTGCTATTCGCAAGTGAGTTGTTATCAGAATCTCCGACTATTGCGATGTTCCTGACAAAGTTGTTTGTAGTTTACTCACGCATACCAGTGCCGACCAGTACGACGACGAAAAGCATCATGAAGATGATGATTCAGAATGAAACCACATAGCAAGCTATTCATCTCTACACTTTCTTTCTTTCGGACAGACTATTCCGCATTGTTATCCGTCTATTCTATTTTTATACCTCTCATGTATCATTTACTCTAGTTGAATGTTCACGCTTTTTTGTCGTCTCGGGCAGCTCTGAAGTATTACGGGAATATAATTATAAAAAGTAACGAAGAATGGGGTACGGTATCTAGTATCCTACTCTTACAGTCACGGACGAACTCTAACGAAGCATGAAATAGACTCGAAACGACCCAAAGAGATTTAGTGACCAAAATCCTTGGTAGATCGCTCCTGTCCATCGGAGTAAGCGTACTTGGAGTGACTTCGGATAGCAGCACCCTTGTAATAGAAAAGATATGGAATAGCGCAGCAAGCGAGCGCGATGAAGGCTAGAATCGAGCCGGCCCACTCGTAGCCTACTCGGTGATACCTAAGAAAGATGACGGTCAGAATAAGGTTGCTGCGAACACAGGTGACCTAGGAGACACTCACATTTGCACGGTAAATAATACGACACCCGCACCCCAGAACGATCGAATGAACGTCTTGGCTGCCAGTGCAGACGCAGCTTGGTGCTGATACGAGTCTACCAAGTAGTTGTTCGCCGAGTTGTAAAGGAAGATGAACCCGAAGCCGACAGGGAAGCCTGAGATGGCAGGTCCAATCCAGTGGACTCTCTTATAGGACGTCCACGCGAAGATGAACAGACCGATAGGGATAAGCCAGCAGGACAACATCATGGGGATAAGACGGGCTTCGGGTGGAGGAGGCCCTCCATGTTTTATCCACAGCGATTTGTAGTGTCTATTGACGAGCGGCGAGCATGCGGCGCTGCAGAGCACACCGATTGCCAATGGGATGAACATGAGACCTGTGATGCTCGCGCTGTATCCTTTGCCCTCCTGATAGACAATAGGATAGCTGTAGGACCGTCAGTAAGATCGTCTGGAAGAGATGATAATGTGAGGTACGTACGCAACGAAGAACATGTATAGCAGGCCGTAGAGCACTGACATGTACAGCGAGATCAGGAATACAATGAGCTCGACGAAAAGGAGCTGGAAGGGCCTGAGGAAGTAAACTTGAAGTTCCTCGACGAGTGGACGACGGCTGACTTCCTGCTCAGTGACGTAACTAGAATCTCCAGTTTCTTTGCGAAGTCGGCGAGCTCGCTTGAGGAGAATAGTGGGCGCGTACGTTTCTGGGACAGTGAGGGTCATTAAGGCATAAACAAACCCGGCGAGGATGAGTTGGATCCAATAGAGCCATCGCCAGCCCTTGTGGTCCGCGATAAATCCACCGACCAAGGGGCCTGAAGATGGGGTTAGCTGATATACAGCAGCAATGCGTAATGTCTTACCGATAGCTGGGCCGATAAATGGCGCTGCGCTGAAGGCAGCCATGGGCACACCTCGTTCCTCGTTTTTCCATAAATCTGCAAGCGTCCCTCCCACGATTGTCATCGGTGCACTAAACGGACTAATTAGGTATGCGATAAGATGAGAAGAGAGAACACATACCTGAAACCGATACCGTCAATTGCTCGAGCGACAAGTAGAGTGCCGATATTTTTGGCAACCGCTCCCGGTATAATGAAAAGGAGCCCAACCAGCAGCGTTGAGACGTAGATGACCTTTCGGCCATACATCTCACTCAAGGGTGCGAAGAACATAGGACCTATGCTCCGAAATGGTGTTAACATTTGTCGGGAGAAAGCAAAGAAAAAATATTGACATACCAACGCCGAATCCGATGACAAAGAGAGTGATAGTAAGGAATGCAACTTCTTCAGACACATGGAAATCTCTCATAACTCCTTCGATGTCCGCGGTGATGACGGCAGAGCAAAACGCCACCGTAAAGCAAACCAAGGAGATCATAATTGTGCACCACCACTTCTTCAGCTTCGACCAGTTCTTAGGGTTTTCCGGATCCCCCTCCGTGAACGTCACCAACTTGTATCGTACCTTTTCTTCGTGGCCATCGACTTCGCGAAGGTGGGTCTGGAGGATGACACCTGTACGCGTCTCATGTCGGTATTCCTCGAGGTTAGCGTCGTTAGTGAGAATACGAGTTGGAATGTTGAGATCTGTGATGGCTTCGTCCTCTCCTGGATGAAGAGTGCTCGTTGACGCCATTGGACTCTTCTCCAAGTCCGGGACCTGCGAGGGGGACATGACTACGAGCAGGGAGGAAGGGGGGGAAGGGCGGAAGGGAAGGAAGGGGGGGGGGAGAACGCAACAAGCTCTAGCTACGCGCAAGCGTGCAGTCTTTCTTCATAACGGGCTTGCTTTTATTAGGACGGGGTCCGAGGTAACCGGCAACTGGAGCTCAGAGTGCAAGGCTCGGCCGATGCTGAAGATATCCTCCCTTCGGACGACGACTGCATGTAAAAGTCCCTGTTGTTCGATGTAAGCGATAGGTTTGATTGGTCTTTGAAAGACTACGGATACCCGAGGTTTGTAGACCCATCATGCTGCGAGCCTCGTAGACACGAAGACCGTGTGCTTGGCACCACTGTATTTGTATACATAGCCACGCCCGTGAGCACTCCGTGAGCGTATTCTTGCAAAAAGTAATGGTATAGCGACCTAGAACAATCAAACATACGTACCTTGAAAGGGCAAGGACACCATCAGTCCGAGAGGAGCTTCTCGGAAAGTGTTACGTAATCCTAACCATACAGAGTAACTCCGCCTGAAACATCGACGCTTGAAATCTTACCGCTTTTTTTATGAGCGCACTCGGATTGTTTGTATCTTTCATAATTCCTCTCGGGCGGAGCTTCGAAACGCAACGAGATAGACGCAGATGTTCCAGCCAATCAGGCGGTCTGCTTAACGGACCTAGTCAATAAAGTGGGCCGATATCTCGGAGCAGATCGTAATTAGTCGTGACCTATTCTGTATCGATATAACACAGTGCACATTTAAATTAACAACAAGTAAGCACATCTCAAGGATCTAAGATTGCTCACAACTGTTCGCTCTGGCATTTTATGCGTCGTAAAGGTGGAGATTCAAATCACCGAGTACCTGGCAGACAAAGGGGGGAAATTTGTTTGAGTGATGCTGAACGGGAACAAATGATCAGGAGCAACCGAATCAAAAAGACGAATCACGATCGAACGATCGAAAGCGTATCTTGCGACAACTTCCTCATAGGGAAATTTCCCAAAATAATACTCTCATACCCGGACTTTCGGATGTAACCGCGCTCGCTTCCTTTTCGGCAAGTGGACCCAGAAGCTCGGGTTTAACAGACTAGCACTTGCTCCCTGATGGCCTAAGTCCCTCGCTGTGGACTTTGCGATGCTGTAACCTATAGCCAGTGGTTTATTATTCACATTATTAATTTTTGTAAGATTTATTGCAGCACCAAATGGCACTCCACTTGCTGGTGATATAATTTCAAACACTTCTGGCACTGAAGAGTAGATTTTCTCCCTGAGTTCCTACATATATACTCCATGTTAATCAATCGGTATGAGCCCTAACATGTTTCTTGAGTGCAAGTTGTAATTTGTTATTGTGCACTGTAGTTGTCATTTCTAAACATGGACGTATCATTTCGAAGACGCCTATTTACATAATCAGTTACATGACCATAACAGGCAATGAAATCTCATGGAGTTCTATCACCACACCAATAAGTATTTAGTGATAGAAGTACAAGCTATTAATTATATAAACCCTTAACTTTAGTCCCCACAATCTATATCTTTTCTGTATTAAATACTGGGTATGTGGCTGATCGTTTCGGACTGTTCTCTACTGTTATTGGTTTTGTGGTCGTTGACACTTGACTTGTATTATACACTTTATACACCGATATAGCCGCTGTGGCGCAACGGTAGCGCGTTGCTTTCCTACTTGCTCTAATAAGTAAGCGTTAGGCAAAGGTTGCGGGTTCGATCCCCGTCAGCGGTTCAGTTTTTACCGGGCTTCTTTGTTGAAATCGCAAGCGAAATGATCAAATTTGTAGACCTGCCGCACACTTCAAGCCATCTGCTTTTCTTTTCATCCCTAAAAGTATTTTATCTATTGTGAGCATGATCTAGATCTACGTACTTTTACTGAGATATTCCCGCTACCCCAGTAGCGGGTCTTAGGGTTCCAGGGGCATGCATTTTACCTCCGTTTTTTGGCTGGTGTTTACAATCGTCACGTGAAACGCATGACTTCCCGAACAAATTGCGTGATCGAGCGCTTACGGCATATTCCTATTCTAGTGTTGCGTAACAGCCGTCAAGTAAACAATGGTAAGAAACAGTAAGAAAAGTAAGAAAGGTATAAGAAAGGTAAGTAAGTAACGGCTGTTATAAACGTTTGGCGCCCAAAAGCAAACAAATACGATTACCGACGCTGTTACCTGTTACCTTAAGTATACTCTGGCTCTGAGAGGGCCGGCCTCAGACGTCATCGATCATCTACAAGTTAGTACAGCCGCTGTAGTACATCTTCTGTACAGTATAAATCTTCTGTACGGTATAATTGTCGCAACCTAGGGTATAAACTTTGATCACGAGTCCCCTCTCTTTCCCCGCGAGATTTTCATTCCTCATCCCCTCACCGTCACCACCATCGTCTGTCGTCTACTCCGGGATGCCAAACGTCTGTGTAGCCATACACACATGTGCAGCCCATCCTTCCACCACATCCCTGATGCCTGACCTCCGTCATTCAGTAAGCAACACCACTTCAGTCCGTCGCCGAGAAAGCTTGCAATAATTCCATGAAAAAATGTTTCACTCAGTATATCTTCAACACCGCAATTGCTTACTAATACCTAGTAGCGGGTGTAGCTGCAAACGCAGCGCTAGTAAATTATATGATCAGCCGCTTCGAGACGCTTACTCGCAATTTACTGGTCCTTACACGTTCTCTTTGTATTCTTGTCATTTTTTTCAGAAGGCACCCAGTGGAACCCGAGATTGTCAAACGTAGCCTAGGCCCTTATCCAAGGTACACATGCTACTCCTCCGTGTGCGTTTCGAAGCACCATCATGGAAATACCATAACAGTGTTATCGTGAACGACGCCAGTAAAGGCATTCCAAAGTTCGGAAGGAGTATACATACAAGAGGGACGAAACAGTCTCATCTCAGGTACAAACCGACTAAGAAGGTTAACATCAGCCTAGAGAATCAGTCAAAAACGCACCTGGATGTTGGGAGACTTTGTAAGCGCCACAGATGGGTTGCACGCATATATCACGACATATCTCTCAACATTAGGGCCAAATTATGCTATTTGACGGCCGAAGTCCAAGAACACAGGCATCTGGCTACAAGTCATAATGTGCAGTCCATGTGCAAGACTACTGTACGCGGATCGACCCCAAGCTCACGCGATTGTGTACTTGCCATATTCCTTCTCTGGATCATACACCTAGGATAATGTAAATTATATTGGCCATGACCAACAGTGAGACTACGTACCTCCCAGCGTGATGCAGGGAAAATATGCTTGTTGCGCTGATAATAACTCCGTTCCACAACCTTCCCAGCGTGGGATTCGTCCTTTTCTACACTCGCATCCGCCAAGAGACGAACATCATCGTGTACGTCAAAGTTGAAAAGGGGGCCTGATTTCCCGCGAGCCTTGTTCACGATAAAATCATAGAACGTGTAATGCTACGTGACGACGTCAATCGTGACGCACAGGAAAAGGGTGAATGAATGCCAACTTACATGAGGGACGATGAGATCCTCCTACGCCCGCCGTCAATCCACCGAAATTTACACGAAGCAAACGGAAACCTGCTCACCTTAACATACATAAGGTTGTCCACGCTAATACCTCTCAGCTCTGGGAACTGTTGACGGCACTTCTCAAGAAAGGTAGATATCTCATCGCCTTTCTTGCACTATATGAAGCCATGGATATCCATGCAATAACCTGCGTGGTCAGATGCAACATCCCGTGCCATATCGAACCATAACTTACCATAACACTCTTGCGGTGTCCACTGCCATCCCAGTAGGAATATGTGATCTCGATATCCTCATTCTTCGTTTCCTCCTGCTTCTTCAGCCACTCTTGCCTCAGCTGTTCTCGGTCTCGTCGTTCCTGCTCTTCACGTTCACGATCGGGCAGGAACGACGTGTCAACGTTCGGATTCTTGCGGGACTTGGATTTCTTTTGGGGTCTATCGTCTTCCCCATCCTCCCCACCCCCGATACCGTTCTCGCCGTCTTCCTCTCCATCGTCCAATGCAAAGGACAGGGTAGACTTCGCGACCTTCTTGCGCTTCTTCACCTTCTTCTGCTCATCCCTAAACAGATTCTCCACGTCCTGTAAGCGACCGTCCGGATTCTGACCCACAAACAAAAAAAGACAAGGCCCTTGACATACTTGAGTTCATTAGTCCTCGCCGCTTCTCTCGCCTTTGCTTCCTCCAATTCTTTTCGCCTCTGTTGAAACTCCTCCAACCTAACGAGACCGACAGTACTCTTCTTGAGGTTGTCTTCCATAGAGTCATTTTGGCCCACAAAGCGGTTAGAAGAAGGCCTGGCCTTCTCAGTCTCCTGGATGAGGTTCTGTTTCTGCCGTTCGAATTCCTCGCGCATTTGCGTTCGCTGTTTTACCAACGCATCTTCCCGGCGGCCTTCAGCTTGGTTTGTAGACATGATAATTACACAATAAAGCTGGCCTCAGTGACTTGTGGGGTGCGAATGAGTGTGGTGGTCAGTGAGCAAGTCGCGTTCGGTGCGGAGTTCGAAACTCTCTTGCTGTTCGCTGTCCGGGCGCCTTGCGTGCGCCCTCCTTCAGCAGCCTCACCACCTTGCTCAGTTCAACATGCATATTCTCGGGGTTAACATGCCTGACCACAAGTTGGTTAGGGTAAGTAGGTTTGAGTGTGCTGTATCCGGAAACTAAAAATCGTATTCCTACAGCATACACTCACCTACTTCTTTGGCATTGGAAAACATACCTCAGCACGGATATGTGCTCGGATGCACGTACATGACAAGTGCAAAGTCAAGGACCTCACATCTCAACAGGTCACTGCATTGACCGCTTTTCTGAACGCTCCCTCAAGCGCACCTCTCCCTGCTCACGCACCGCTAGCAGGAGTTAACTACCGACCCTCAGCTGTCGGTAAGCCACTGAACGCCATTTCTCAACCTTCCCGGGCGCCGGAAGACTACAAAGACCCGCTCAAGAACCTCAGGATCGAGTCAGACTTGAAGAGGGAGATCAGGGAGAATATTTTGCACCACAGGCTCATTGGAAGCTACATCGGTCGTCGTCACGCTTTGCAACTACCAGTCAGAGGCCAGAACACTCAGTCAAACATGAAGACGGCAAAAAGACTCAACAGGATCGAGCGTGTGTTGGAGCCAAGGAAAAACAAGAGATTCTAGGGTATTGGTATGTCACTCGTATATCCTTGCGTTGTAGGGTATTAACAGAGCTATCTAGTATCTCTTGCTGCGTCAATATAGACCTTATTATCTTACAAGCACCCCATGTATCAGCACCATTAATCATCGCCTACTGGTACTTCTTCCTCCAAATACTTAACAAGCGTGACCCGTATTTCTGTGCTTTCATCGCCTCTCAGTACATCAGAGATGAAAGTGGCCTGCACTTGCATCTGAATCTGCAGCCCAGTGAATGACATACGCGCGCGAGTATCGTGTATGAACGACATACCATCTCCAGAGCACCTCGTATTACCCCGCAAAGGACATTACTGAACCAAAGTCCGCCTTCCAACGCTTCTTCGGGTAATTCTACAAACTCCGCCAAAGGGTTTTCATCCAATGTCAGAGTGAATGATTGACCGGTGGAGGTTGACTGGGGAGCGGTGCCTGTCGGAGAGGTCGCCACGGAAGTCGGTGCGCCATGGGTGACCGTAGGAGTGATATTCAAAAACGACTTGAATCCGACCTTGGGGCATGCAATGTATAAATAACTGAAACGTTGTGTCGGACATAACGCTCAACCGCACCTTTGCCACCACCTCTCCTGTCTCTCTGAAATCGGCGCATCGTCCAATGTTACTTCTGGCAAGGAAGTCTTCTATGAGCCTCGTTCCAATGTTATAACCCATCTTCTCGAGCTGCTTGTTGACCTCGTCGTAGTCCTCATAGTCTTGAATAAGCTGCACCACGAGGGCTCCGTACGTGAGCGCAAATAGCTCTGCATTCTACGCATATGTCTGGAGGTCAGGGACGAACTGGTTTCATTCTTGGATACCAGGGACGCGAGAGAGCACGACGCACCGTCTTTTCCGCTCTACCTTTCCATATGTCCTCCCCAATGGCCTTGTATTGCTTACTCGTGGTCGACATCTTTGTCTCCTTGCCTGCCAATAGTAGCGAGTGGTCGTAGACTGAGAGATGTAAAGATCATTGCGCGTCTCTCTGACTTCAAGCCTCCCCCCTGGCGTCTTTCGACCTCTCTGCTACTACTACCAACGACGAATATGAATTCATTTCCGAGTTGTACGGCGTACATCTCAGAAAATGCCAAGAAATGTGGGAGGGATCAGCAGGTATGACTGTAATTTCGCATGCTGTATTGCTGGTTATGTGTTAGCTCACGCTAGACTTTCGAATCCCGAACAAACTCGTGTCAACCACGACCTTGGTCAGTAATATTGAAGTTCATCTGTCGACCCACTCACTCATCGCAGGGAAGACAGCTCAATGGTTTCGGATTCTGGGTCTAGTTGTTGCATGAGTCATAGGATCTGCTGGCACCCAGACTTGCAACGTCTCGGCTCTCGAACGTAGGTGCGTGCCACATTATTTTATTGGAATTTCCTTGTCGCTTCAATAAAGTTAGATTCTAGATATTGACGGTGACCACAACTCATCGTAAATATTACAATATTCTTACTCAAGCCACAGCAGCGAGGGAAGACGACGCTGGCACCGGTTCTGTGACATGGAGGGCGTTCCGCGCATACATCCCAG